GCTCTGCCATGCCGATGGGATACTCTTGGTAGCTTGCTGGCCTCTCTGAGAGGACAGAGGAATTGAAGTTGGGTTGGCCGTGTGCAACGCAAAAGCCCTACCTGCCGTGCTATAGCTCTAGTCCAAGAAGTTTTCATAATCTAGAGTGATAGCACAGCGGGTAGGGCTTTTGCCTTGCATGTGGCTGACCAGGCCGACCTGAGTTCAATTCCTCTGCCTCTCTCGGAGAGCCCGGCAAGCTAACACTGGGAGGACAGTGCTACAGTGCACTGATTGATTGATTGTGGCGAAGAAGCTTTCCCTGGAAAAGGGTTATATTTAAGGGGCTATTTGAAGGAGGATCAACAGCCTGTTCTTAGGAACAGACTATGGCATACATGACGGTCCTCAGCAAGGATGGATGGCACTCGGCACATTTTACGGCCTGAGTGAAATCCAATGTGGTTATATCTCAGACAACAAGGAGGCAATGATTCTAAGACGAGGCCGGTAAAGTGTTGCTGCATTACACTGATATTAAGATACTTGGCTTTTGTCTCTCCTGTCTATATATCACAAGTACAGAAACCTTCTAAATTGTGAATTGATGTCTACGTATACAGAGTGGCAAGTTCCTACAGCCATTCTCTTGCTGTGGAGGTCTGGGTACAGTTCTGTTCCTTACAGAAATATGGTAAAATGTTTAAAGCAGAGCATAAAGCAGAGCAAGATACGAGTTCCCAATAAGCCGGAACTTATAGATAAACTGTGCTTGGAGATAATATATGCAAATGGCTTATTTATCAATGATAGACTTTCCTGGGGCTGGAATGATAGTACAGCAGGTAGGGCGTTTGCCTTGCACGCGGCCGACCGGGCCGACCCAGGCTCTATTCTTCCACCCGTCTCGGAGAGCCCGGCAAGCTTTGAAGAGTATCTCACCAGCACGGCAAAGCCTGGGAAGCTACCCATGACGTAATCGATAGGCCGAACACAGTAACAACAAGTTTCACAATGGAGACGTTACTGGGCCCGCTCGAGCAATTCGATCAACAATGGGAAGACAGTGATACAGTGATACAGACTCTCCTGAAGTCAGTTTCTTGGTTTTATTCAGTTCGGGCATGCCATTTTATTAAATATAAATGCATACCTTTATGCTGGTCTTGGATGTATTCAAACTGAGATTTAATTTACTGTAAATTACTAAGCCTTTGCGATGTTCAGATAACGATAAGGATCCCAATGTTGGCTTTTTGTTTTACTGAAAACAATTACTTTTTGCAAATCTCCTTAATAAATCTTTGCAAGGTCACTGCATGTATACTTGTGTGTGTGGGTGTTACACCAGACAGATAGAGATTCCTTTTGCACTTTTGTTCACTGAATACTGTGTCAGAAATCATATATGTCACATTATAAAGGGTAAATTGGTGAGATTATTTTTTCAGAAATCTGTCATATCATACGGTGTAAATCAGTGAGAGGCTTTATGACTGTAGACATTCACTATAATGAAGGGGCTCTCAGGAGTTGCCCCTTTGACAGGTAAAAGCACCAGTTATTTGCAGCTAACGAGATTTTTATTAGCCATTTTGCTTTTAGGCTGCGATATTTTCTGATGATTTCTTGAAGAGCACTGATATTGTAATGAAAATTTAGGGCTGGAGCGATAGCACAGCGGGTAGGGCGTTCTCCTTACAAGCGGCCAACATGGCCGACCCGAGTTCGATTCCTCCGCCCCTCTCGGAGAGCCCGGCAAGCTACCGAGAGTATTCGATATGCCAGACACAGTAACAACAAAGTCTCCAATGGAGACGTTACTGGGCCCGCTCGAGCAAATCGACGATCAACGGGAGGGCCTTTACCTTTACCTTTATCTAAATGGTAGTGCTAGTTGTCACAAAACGAGAAAAATAATGTGAAAATATGTTTTATTTTCGCTGCAGATAAGTAAAATCCCAAAATCACCCTGCAGTTTATGTTAATATGTATACGTATATGTATGTATACATATACATATATATATATATACAACACATATACATGTGTGTATTCCCAATGAACTTATCTGTCACACTGAAAATAGAATTTCAGCAAAACTTTTGAACTAGCTTGGTAGAAAAGTTCTTCCATACACCAGACTTCAAGTTCAGAGTCCAGTCACCATCCTCATACAAGTGAAATGTTTTATGGACCAGAATATAGTTAATACAGTGTTGCAATGTTAATCTCACCAAGTAGCTTCATTATGTTGGTGTTTATGGACCCAGAAAGACCTATAAGTCTCAATAAAGACTCACTGATATGTTACTAAATTTTAGGCTATCCAACCAGGTAGGCGCTCAAAATCAACTCAGCACGTGTGACTGTTACTACCAGAGATTCAGGACATACACGGAGAGGATAACTTGTATGCAACTGTGTACAGTAGCTTGTTCATAACTTCAGTGTGACAAATCTTTTGAAAGTTCTAAAAAATATTTTTGCACATACAATGAAATACTTTTGCACATACCATGAAATACTTTCGCATATACCATGAAAACTGAAACACATTTGCACATACATGACCCCTAATCTTTATGCCCCGTTCTAATCTATATACATCCTCAAACACCAGTGGAAAGCACCCCCAAGGCGATTGCGGTATTCCCTGGCATTGCAGGACCCAGATAACACCACCTCAGGCCAGGCATTGAACACCTGCTGCCTGGTTGTCTGAAAATCATGAGGGAGTAGCCCACAACATCCACTTTTGGCTGGACAAAGAAGGAAGGGAGGGAGGGACAAAGGGAGGAAGGAAGGGAAGGAAGGGAGGAAGGGAGGGAGGGAGGGATGGAAAGGGGATGGAGGAGGGAGGGAGAGGGTAGGAAGGAAGGAAGGAAGGAAGGAAGGAAGGAAGGAAGGAAGGAAGGAAGGGAGGGAGGGAGGGAGGGAGGGAGGGAGGGAGGGAGGGAGGGAGGGAGGGAGGAAGGAAGGAAGGAAGGAAGGAAGGAAGGAAGATGATTCTATAGCTCACTCACTATAAGTATTGCATACTCATTCCTCCCTCACAAATTTTTAAAATTTGGGGTCATGCCTATCTGCGCTCAGGGGTCACTCCTGGTGGGTTTGGGGGAGCATGTGGGGTGCGGAAGGTTGTCATGTGACCATATGCACGCACACGCCTTACATGCTGTGTTCTCCTTCTGACTCCACATGTTGTGTATAATTAAAATGAGTTAGGGACGGTGAAACTGTAAACTATGCTTCTTTTTTTAAAAAATAATTTTAGGCTTTTTTTTAGTTCATTTGTTTACTGTAGTGTTATTTTTTTGTAACATGGCATGCAATATTGTTTAACTTAATTTGGCCACTGTTTCCATTCCATTACTTGCTCTTCCTACCAAATTTCAAAGCCATTCTTTTTCTCAGGGGAGGTTGCTAACTAACGGGAAGTCTCTGTAGTTCAGGAAAGAATGCCCTTCAAAAATACTGCAATTGAATGGAATTCCATAATTATTTTCATAAATCTGGAACTGTCTTGTGATCCTGTTACAAAAGCTTGGGGCATTTGGTTTTGTGTTCCTCTGGCACCACCAAGCACCGTCTCTGGCTCAGAGCCTAGAGTAGACCCTGAGCACTGTCGAATTTGGCCCCCAAAACAATTTTCTGAAAATGGTATGAAGGAATACAAAAGCAGCATGCATGCACTCCCCACATATTATCATGTTAGTCAAATTGAATGATTATTTGCTAAGCATGCTAATTGCATAGTTATGCATGTTCCATTTCTTTCACTAACTAATTGACTAAGCAATTCACAGAATGATGTTTTCAGTAGGATCCCATGCACAGTATTTCTTAATCACTAGCATGGTCATTGATTGCTTTAGTAATTTAAAATAATCTTTACCAAGACTACTTTTTTTTGTTAATTTCTTGCTCTTTCTTTCAGTTACTTCTTGTGTATATTTTTAAGAACAACTTAAAGGAAATTTTTCCCTTTTGTATTTTTTGTTGATTTACATTTTCAGAAGAGTAAAATAACTCCCAATGTTCTGTTATCATGTGCAAATAAAATGCTTGTTAGGGAACATAATTCTAAAACAGTTATGTTTAGAATATTTACCATTATCGGTACAGTTCACTTATTTTTATAATCGCGATCACGATCATCCTGTTATTCATTGATTTCCTCGAGCAGGCACCAGTAACATCTCCTTCTTCCTAGCCCTGAGATTTTAAAAGAGCCATTTCAATGCTCTCTCAGGATTAGGAGAATGAGACCCATCATTGTTACTGGTATTTGGCATATTTAGTATGACATGGGAAGTTTGCCAGACTCTGCTGTGCGGGCAGGATACTTTTGGTAGCCTGCCAGGTTCGCCAAAGGAAAAAAGAAGATAAGATGTTGCTTCTGGGAGCCGGGTTTTATAGTCTCTGCATCTTGGCTATTGATGGGACCAACCTGGCGCTGGAGGCAGCTGGTGGGTGTGACACCTACCTGCTGGAAGATGGGGGTCTGGGTGGAGAAGGCCCAGTCCCAATCTGAGTAGGCTTGGAGACCTCAGCCCGGGACCCACATGCCTGGGTTCCTCTGCCAGTTTTTTCATGCAATATTATATTTATATTTTTATAATATTGGTCAAAAAGTTTCAGAAATTGCAAAAGCTATAATTTTTTTTTAAATTTCAAAAGAAAAAGGTAAAGGTAAGGTAAAGGCCCTCCCGTTGATCGTCGATTTGCTCGAGCGGGCCCAGTAACGTCTCCATTGGAGACTTTGTTGTTACTGTGTCTGGCATATCGAATACTCTCGGTAGCTTGCCAGGCTCTCCGAGAGGGGCGGAGGAATCGAACTCGGATTGGCCATGTTGGCCGCTTGTAAGGCGAATGCCCTACCACTGTGCTAAAAGATGAAAAATCCACAGAAAGACTTTGCTCAGCTCGCTGATCATTGATAATTAATCCTCATCTTAGGAAACCTTGCTGCGAGTATGCTGAATTGTAATCCTGGTTCCTTTTCATCCTCGTGTTAGGAGCCTGTCGCTGAAGCTGACAAAAGATGCTGACCCGGAAGCCAGGTGTGCCCATGCCGGCCGTGTGCCCAGGAGCCCGTCCCCAGACTGTGCCCTCGCGGAGGAGAATGGCGGGCTAGACTCGCTGCCCTTCAGGTTGATGCTGCAGGACTGCACGGCGGTCAAGACGCTGCTGCTGAAGATGAAGAGAGTTCTGCAGGAGGTAATGCTGCGTGTTGGGCATGCCGTTCTCGGCTGGCGGGAATGAACACCCCGGGGCAGGGGACAGTCTCCTCTTGGGGCTTAGCTTTTCCCATCCAAACTCGGGCTTGGGAATGTGGCTTTGGGTGGTGGTGGTGTTGCCTCTGAAATTTGGATATTCTGGGAAAGAATCGAAAAAGAGGAAAATGACACTAGTCCTGGGCCATGCATGTGAGGCAAAGGCAACTGGGCTTCCATTCGGCAAGTCCTGTTCATCTGCATCTCTTCAAGGCCAGTGAGACCAGCCTTAAGTGGACACTGGAGCTCTGCGTGTGTGATACCAGACAAGTAGGCAATTTAGTTATTTCTTGCTTGTTTCTTGGCTGGCTGTGGGGTCCAGAGGGTCTCTCTTGGCAATGCTCAGGGCAGTGTCTGAGACAAAACCCGACCTAACATCTCAACGCGAGCACCTAGCCCACTGTACTGTCTCTCTGACCCCGAATTTAGTTTGTTCTATCCAGGTAAAAAATATAGTTAAGTTTGGTCTGAATGTTTCACTGTTTTTGACTTTGAAGCAGTCGCCTGTGCCCACCCTGTGACCTGCCCCCCATGACCCCAGTGTGCAGTTCATGCAGTTCACGCTATTAGGATGAACTAAATGGGAAATGTGCCATGGGGTCTTTTTCCTTTAGACCCGAGAAACTATTTCTTGAAACATTCCTTAGGCTTTAAGTACAGTTAAGAATGACTGTTCTGTCCTCCTGAATAAACTGTATTTGGAACATCTGACAAAGATAATCACTGGCATTTTGCTTCTCGACTATGACAATTGTAATAATGCTAGTAGTGCCACTGGAGATCAGAAAGGAATCAGGGACAAAGAAAATTGAAAAAAGAAATGATGTATAGACTGTTAGAAGCATATAATCATATGGTCTTTCTTACTATTGTTTGATTTGGTCAGGATGGAGGACAAAGGTACTTGTGACCAGTTTTAAGCTTATAGTATTCCAACAACAATCCCTTTACCAAGTTTCTATTTGCTTCTAACAATGCGTCCTACTGTCACTGTCACTGTCCTCCCGTTGATCGTCGATTTGCTCGAGCGGGCCCAGTAACGTCTCCATTGGAGACTTTGTTGTTACTGTGTCTGGCATATCGAATACATCACGGGGAGCTTGCCAGGCTCTGCCGTGCAGGCAAGATACTCTCAGTAGCTTGCCAGGCTCTCCGAGAGGGACGGAGGAATCGAACTCGGGTCAGCCGAGTTGGCTGCGTGCAAGGCAAACGCCCTACCGCTGTGCTATGCTTCCTACAATGCCCTCAATTTTTCTCTCACATACTGGCCTTCCTCTATGACAATAAATAGATAATAGATATTATCTATTGTATAATTTTATCTTTTCCTAGGGATGAATGATATTCAATTATCTGTCTGTCTGTCTGTCTGTCTGTCTATCTATCTATCTATCTATCTACTTATCTATCTTATAGCCTCTTTATCCACTTGTATGTTTTTGGACACCTTGATTGATTCCAGGTGGCTGTTGTGGATAGTGCTACGTTGAATTTAAGGGCGCAAACATTTTTTCCTCCATTGTGTTTTCAGGTCCTTGGGAGTATATTGCAAGAATTGTAATTACTGGGTCAAATGGGAACTCCATGCTGAGTTTTTTGAGGGGTGTGTGTATCATTTTTCAGAACAGCTGGACCTGTCGCCCTTTCCATCAGCAGTTAATGAGAGTCACTTTCCCCTGCATACATGCCAACATTGGCTGTTTTTTTTTTTTGATATGTGTTGGTCTCTGGGGTGTGAGAGGATAGATATCTCAATGTTGTTTTGATTTGCATTTTCCTGATGATGAGCGACAAAGACCATTTTTCTTTCATATGCCTTTAGTCTTTGAGTATCTCCTTTGAGGAAGTTTCTGTCTGTTTCTTCTCTCCATTTTTTTTTTGAAGGGGTTGGGTTTCTTTTGTATAGTTCTATTGGTGCTTTATGTATCTTGATATTGACTTTTAATCCGATGAAGACTTGTCAAATATTTCCTTCAAGCTTGTGGGATGTCTTTTTTTCAATTTTGTTCACCATTTCTTTTGAGGTACAGAAACTCTTACTTTTCCGTGGTCCCATTTGTTTATCTTTGTTTCTGATTGCTTGGCCAATGGCGTTGACTTCCTAAAGGTGCCTCTGGCTTCAGTGTCATGGAGAGTTCTGCTGGTTTTCCTTAGTTCAGTTTATGGATCCAGGTCTGACATCTAGGTCTTTAGTCCTTTTTTGTTTGAGTATTGTGCATGGCCTTGGAGATATGACTTCTTTTTCATTAATCTGGCCAAGTGGCTTTCCAAACACCACTTCTTGAACAGAATTTTCTGTTCCACTTCATTTATTTTTACCTTTATTAAAGCTTATCAATAAAGTTCATATACCTGAGCATCTGTCTCTGGATTTTCAATTTTATTCCATTAATCTGAGAGTCTGTCCTTATTCCAATTCCATGCTGTTTGAATTACTGCAGTTTTGTAGTACAGTTTGATGTTGGGGAAATTGATGCCTCCCATCTTATTTTTCCCCCTAGGGTTGTTTTGGCTATTTATGGGAATTTGTTATTCCATATGAATTTTAGGAGTCATATATTCTCATTAGCTGTTCAAAGCAAAAACTCAAAGTGTATGTATATCATACTATTCTCTATCATGAATGTCTTTGTGTCTCTAAAACCTGGTGTGGGAGTGCTTTTCTGCTACTTCACCATGGTTAGAATTCCATATATTTTGTCAGCAGAGGAATTCCACTTATGCACACTCAAACATTTTTCAAATTTTAATCAGCACTCCAAAGTTGTAATTTACTATTTATCTAACTATATGTTACTATTAAACGCACTTTAAATGTACTTACTATATTGTAAAAGGATGCAATTTATTTATATCTATTTAATGTGTAAAGATAGAATATAATAAAAGTTACTGTGCATGTTTGCCAACAACATTGTCATTTTTACCATTTTGATAGCCCAGAATTAATCTTCAGGAATTTTGAATTAGGTGTTTCATGCATTCTAGAAAAGAAGCTGCCTCACACAATTTTGAGACACTGAGATACCTAGAATGACTTTCCCAGTGAGAACTCCTGTAAATCTGTTTCTTGCACTAAACTCCTTTATCTTGTTTCTTGCTCTTGAATGACCTGGCTTGTAGTTCAGTGTTCAGCTTCATTCCACACCACTCAGGCTTCTGCAGTGCTACCAGCTTGTCTTCAAATTCATGTAACCTAATATCTGCAGAAGATCATGGACCCTCCTGTTCACATCCTGTGTCTATGCATAAGGTCTTCAGCCTTGAGCACCTCTCTCTCTCTGTCTCTGTGTCTCCGTCTCTATCTCTGTCTGTCTTTCTCTCTCCTCCTCTCTCTCTCTCTCTCTCTCTCTCACACACACACACACACACACACAAACACACCATCACACAGTATCACACACAACCTGGTAGACAATGTATCATCTGCCCTTGAAGTCAGCACCCTGGTTTATAGACTTTTCACCTCTAAAACCTTTTCAATTCTGTGTAAATTGCTTCTTCCATATGCTCTTACCATCTGCGATGGCCCTGTTCGCAGTAATAACTTCATAATTGGTCTTCGTAATTCTGGTCTTCCCATCTACCAAATCAGTTTTCTCACTGCATAGTTCTTCTAAAGAAAATAGTTCTTCTAAAATGAATTTCGACTCATCACTTATCTCACACACGTTAATGTTCCCTAAATGCCCTTGGAAATCCCTCTATCGGTTCTCTTATCCTGGCACCTTACATTTCCTCCGGCATCAGATCAGAAATCTGCCTCCGCTCATCTTTGCTTTCCCAGAAAAGACTCTGAGATGCCTCGGGATGTGATAAACTAAGACACTTCCTCAATCCTTACACACTTTTGATTAGAACTTACATTTCAATTTTGGGTTAATACAAGGGCGACGATTAAACAAAGTAACAATTAGTTTGTTGATAATTAAATAAATTAATTACTTATGTAATGGCATTTCCTAGAATTCCTGAGAATTCTGATTTCTGATTAAGAAGGTTCTGCTTCATGGGACCTGGCTTTTTGTATCTATAAAACTTAATCTAGAGGGACCAGAGTAATAGTACAGCGAGGAGTGTGAAAGTGAATGATAAATTTGATGTGGAGACTCTAGGAATTGAAAGTTGGAAAAAATTATATAAATAGGGATTCAGAAACAATCCCTTTGGATTCAACTCTATGCTTCACCCTTGGAAAAATATAAATAAAAATCCTTTCAAACATGTCCATACTATGAATGAGTCCCTATTCACAATTCTGTCTTCTGCCCTTTCTGCTTATGAATATTGCAGAAAAGTTCTAGTTGTTTATGTACCACCGCTATGTCTTGTGATATTTGATGTTGAAATTAAGCAAAATGGGATCTGGGTTAGATTCCAATCAGCCAGCTAATTGTTTCTTAGGGTCACTGTCCTCCCACTGTTCATCGATTTGCTCGAGCGGGCCCAGTAACATCTCCGTTGGAGACTTTTGTTGTTACTGTGTTTGGCATATTGAATACATCACGGGTAGCTTGCCATGCCCTGCGTTGCGGGTGAGATACTCTCGGTAGCTTGCCAGGCTCTCCGAGAGGGGCAGAGGAATCAAACTCGGGTCGGCCATGTTGGCTGCGTGCAAGGCAAACGCCCTACCGCTGTGCTATCGCTCCAGCCCTGCTATTGTTTCTTAGGGTCTATACGTAAATTTTCTACTAGTTCTGGTATTATTCCATTGCTTCTTAAAATAAATGACCAACCACATACAAACAGTGAAATTGCACCCTTACCTGGCTCTGTGGTTATTAATGTATGAAATAACAAAGGGGATCATCAATATTACAATTTTGTTATGCGTTCCTAACATTCAACTTTCTTCATGCACCCAGCACTTATGTCTCTGCTGTAAAAGTCTGTTGTGTAAGTGAAAGGTTTGAATCTGGCCGTCCATGTTCCAAACTGTACCGT